AGTCTCGAGGTCCCGGATGTTCGAGCGGACATTTCCCACGCGTTGTTCAGCCGCCGCTCGTGCAAAGGTTTTCTTTCTTTAGTTTTGTTTATTTTTTGTAAGTATTGCATCTGGGTTTTCGGTTTGTGCATGCGACCTTCACTGCAACATTGCCGGGGAAGCTAAAATCACAAGGCGTAGGGCTGGGAACGGGCTGGAAATCCCTAAAAAAAGGGGATAGATCGGGAGCCGTGTCGGGAAGCCTGGGCCGAGTGACGTTTCCTCGCGGGTTCGAATTTCGGGCGAAAATTCCGTCCCCGGCCCGCCCTCCGCCCGGGCCTCGGGGGGCACGGGCGAGGGCGGCGGCGTGGGGCGGAATCGAGAGCCTGGAAGGAGACGAAATAAGGGAGGAAGGGAGAGAAGGAAAATAAGCGGTGAAGTATGTCATATTCTCCTGTCTCCCCCCCCCTCTCCTCCTCCCTTCCCTTCCCCCCCCTCTCTCCCTCCCTCCTCCCCCCCACGAGCGGCCATTGTTGCTAAGTTGATCTTGATATAAACCGAAATTTGCAATATAAGAAAAAGAAGGCTTTTAAAAGTGGTTTTCTCGTCGTTCGGTCACGCCTTCGGGTATCCGCCCAAGCGTTTTAATTTTTTTTTTCTCTGTTGGGTATTATCTCTATTTCTAATCTCTATTTCTAATCTCTATTTCTATCTCTATTTCTATCTCTATTTCTATCTCTATTTCTATCTCTATTTCTATCTCTATTTCTATCTCTATTTCTATCTCTATTTCTATCTCTATTTCTATCTCTATTTCTATCTCTATTTCTATCTCTATTTCTATCTCTATTTCTATCATATTCTCTATTTCTCTATTGGGTATTCAAGAGTTTTTTTTTTTTTTTTTCATTAGAATTAGGTTAATGTTACCTAGAGCGACGCACAGATAGAGGGAAATGGATTTTAAGAGGGTAGTATCCAAAAAAAAATTAGTATTATAAGACTTGTATTTACGGCAGGAGGATGAAAATATCCGCTTGTTGCAAGTTGCAAGTTTGAGACGAAGTCCTTTGAGCAGTCAGGGTTCTTTAATGTCGTGTTTTCTTTGAGTAGACACGAAGTGCTAATGAAAAAGAGGTAGGGAATGTTAGTTTGGGTTTTGGGTTCGCTTGATAGTTTTTTTTTTTGGGGGGGGGGGGGACTTGTGAAGTTGCGTTGCTCTCGGTGACCAATACCTAGAATCTATTATAATTTTGAGGGGGGGGGGGGTTCGGAGGGAGGGGAATGTGAATTTTATTTTCATTTGGACGTTTTATAAAATGTTATATTCAAAATTTCAAAAGGTTTTTCAAAAGTCAGTCTCTCTACATAAAAAGCTCTTTGCAAAGTTCCCGAAAGAGCGGTGATTTCCCGGCAATGTTGGAATGTTGGTGTGGGTTGGTTACGAACTGCCCTCAAACGACCCCAAGACTTAACTCGTAAAACACTTTTTTAGGTTTGGAGGAAAAAGCTTAAAGATTAAAAAAAAATAAAAATGTAAAATGGAGGGGGAAAAAAAAAAGGGTTGCTTGAACTTGCATTACTTGGGGAAACTGCTTGGTAATGGGTCTTCGGTTTAATTTTTCTTTCTTGAATGTTCCTTCTTGCTCCTAGCTTTATCGGGTGTCGCCTTTGTGGTATGAGATTCGTCAAGATTTTTTTTTTTTTTTTTCATATTTTTCTTGTTGCCTTGGTTGTGGTCTGATTTACAAGAAACCTGGTTATTTAACGGTAATTTTGTTTTGTGTATTTTAGAGGAAGATGGTGAAAAGATTGAATATAGTTAGTATAATTGATTTTGTTAAGTATGCTTGAAAATCTAGAGCCAGTTGTTCTGAGAAGAAAGAACAAAGGAGGCTGGAATTAATAATTGATTTTTTTTGAGATAGCCCATCTGAACAGCTGGTGGTCATGTGGTGCAATAAGAAGTGGGCAGTGCATGGGAGTTTTGTAATGTTACTGTTTTGCGGAATGTGTGTGGTGAAGGATTTATTAAACTTTGCCAAAACTCGGCAGAAAGACTGTATTGATTGTTTGGATTAGCTGGTCTTAGGATATAGTAATTTTCTGTCACAGGTTTTGGCTAGTCTCGGTGCTCCCCATTATAATGAGAAATTCCAATTTAAAGACCAATGAAACGTGTTCATGGGATTTTTAGTCAAAGCTCTCACAAGTTACACGTTCTGGTCAGCTGGGTAGGTATTGGTTACCGAGAGTGACGTACACTTCAGAGATGAAATGGGTATCATGCGAACCCAAAATCCAAACCTAACCTTTCCTGCCTTCAATTCATTCCCTAGACTGGGGCAATCTCCCCCCTGTACCCCCCTTTATTAGCACTTTGTACCAATTTATAGAAAATTGCAGTTCAAGGATGTTGTGGACTTTGACTCTGAGTGGTGATATGCAGGAGATATTTGTCATTCGACAGTAAATTTGAGGCCCGAGATGATGTATCTGTTTGGATGAAATATAAATTGAAGAGGACATTCTAGCGTCATCCAATGGCAGAGGAGACACAGACCACCTATACTTATCCAAAGCAGTGAAAGCTTTTTCTTGCCAAAATGTTTGGTCTGAAGTTCTTTGCCCTTGTAATCACTGGCTCTTAGGATTACTATATCTGGTTAATGTTATTGTGAGTGATGCCAAGAGATAGAGAAATGGACACTGTGCTATAAGATGGCAAACTGCTGCTGTGGCCCCCTATTGACTGTGAAATGATCTATATGCTGTATATCACTGCTCAGACCAAGTCCACAAAACCCTAACACTGCTAGTTGCATTTTCTTTAAGTCAACACGAAGTACTAATAGTGGGGAGTACGGGTGGTTTGCATAATACCCTGGTTTTTGGACTCTAAAGGGTACTTCGCTCTTCGTAATAAATACTCCATATGCCATCCACCCCTTATTGGCTGTTTATCGAAATACTTGGATCTGTCTAAGACCATCAGTGTTGTTCTTGATAAAGAACTGTAGTCCTTGAACTTGTGTTTCAGCAAAGGCCAACAAACCTTTAGGTATATTCTGGAAAGATTAACTTGCTCTTTTCCATAACAATTTTAAGGTTGTACTGTACATAGTGTAATTGAGCATTAGAGTAATTTTGGTTTCTGTTGGATGTAATGGTTCATATGCATTTCTAGGTTTATGGGTTTTGTAACAAAGGTATTTATTACTCGTCGGGATGCATCCTCTAGAGACCGAAAAGTCCAAACCTAACTTCTACCTTCTATTTATCCCCTCTTTATTAGCACTTTGTGCTAACTTGTAGAAAATTCAATATTAAGAACAGGTTGTATATAAGTGTTGTGGACTAAGTCCCTAAATGGTGATTTGCGTGTGGGGAATATTTTCGGTTTGTGGAACTATGAGGCCGTAGCAGCTGCACCGGTTTGTTTGTTTCATATGCTGTATAAAATGGCACTGTCCATTTCCCTCTGTGTTACTCTAATAAGCATTTACAGTAACAAGAATTACCCTTTTGGTTATGGTTGTCAGTTATACCCCCCTGAAGGTCAGCTTGGTAAGTAATATTTTATAACCCTATACCGATGGTTATCAGAAATCCCTGAGCATCATAAACTCTGGTGATTTCTATCAATGTTCAGACACTGGACTTGGGAGTATATTACTAGTGAAACTTCGTGCTCCATGTGCTCTGATGTACCCCATAGATCAAGTGGTGTGTTATGATGCTTGTACATGTGACCCATCCATTAAGAGTTAAAGATTAAAAGTATTTGAAAGGACTGTACTTAAAGAAAATTTAAAGAGTAAAGTCTTGTAGACACTGGAAAACTTCATTGGTTATTCTTTATGGTATGGACACAGTAAGCTAGAGCAAATTGAAGGTTTTATTAGAGGAAAGATAGTCATTTGTACAATAAATAATTTAGATACAAATAAAGGAAAAAGATAAGAGAAAGTGCTACTCAGCACCTAAGTCCACTGTGTGCTCCCTAGTTTCAGCACTATATTGCTATGCATATGAGGTGAAGATAATGTTTCTTGGGTGGCTTTGGGAGGCATAACCCCCTCATCAACCCTCCCTTCAGGTAGTTGGACATGCCCAGTCACAGCAAGATTGTTGAGAGTTGACATAGTTGGGGACTTAGTCTCTGGTGAGCATGTCCATACTGTAAAGAATTTCCAAATTTAAAAGCAGTAGCAGAGCTGAGAAGGAAATATAATGGGGAATATGTCAAGCAGATCAAATTGCTATGTTCCTCCCATAATTAAGTTTAACCTTCCTTCACCTTTCAGTAAACTGAACTGCTTAAGTAACCTTGCATAAACACCTTAGTAACCCTGGATAAACAAGTCTTGGTGCATGTAGGTCGTGATCATTCATTCATAGAAATGCACAGTGCTTTTGACATTTCTTTTATAATTTGTATTGTGCAAAGATCTATTTATTAATTGTTATTCCTCAAATTTCATGCAATAAATATGGATAATTATGGTATGAATGCACTAAGCTCGGGCAAATGGAAGCTGTTCCTGTAGAGGAGTGAAAGTTGCAGTTGTTAGTACAAGAAACGATCAGCAGACACGAATGGTAATGCCACAAATAAAAGAAAAGGATTGCCAAAAGTGCCCCTCGCAGCCTAATTCCATTTGGTGCTCCTAAGTCTTCTCTAAATTGCTGTAACGAGTTGAAGACACGACCGTGTTATGGAAGGTATTGCAGAGATAGAGGCAAATGGACACTGCCATCATGGAAAGAGTATGAGTTTTAAACACGGATACGTCTTCTGTGACTTCATATTTATTAACAAAATATTTGTTGCATATCATTGCTCAGACTAAGAACACAACACTTGTACAGGTCCTACCTAGGGAATAGATAAATGGTAGGAAAGATTAGGTTTGGGTTTTGGGTGTCATGATAGCCTAATAGTTACGTACGTGAATGTGAAAACTCAATTTTGAGTATCTGGTTTAGGCACTCGGTCTCTGGAGGGTGTTTTGTTATTGCCAATCCTGCCCTTAGTCAGTGTCCAAAGGGCATACCCAGTCATGGCAGTATGATGTTGAATAAATTTTGTGATTTGGAGTTGGGGAGTCTCTACTGTAAGTTTTGGTATTTCGTTTGAGAAATGTGACATGCATTCATAGGCATTGACTAGCAAAGTTGAACATTTGTCCGTATAAATTGTGCATTTCAATATTAAATTTTTGAATATCGATATTAATAGTTATGAATATGTGGGTTTCAAACCAGTTTAGAGTATTCCACTGAAATATACTTAAAACGTTTATGGGGATAATACTAAATGCATCAGAGTAAAAGAACTTGCAATGGTGTGCATGGCAGAAATCAAATGTTTGTGGCCCTATTAATCACAGCATGCCATTCATTACCCTTGAAGATTAGATAAACCAGCTGTGCATCTTCTAAGGTAATGAAATTGGACGAGTCTAGCCTTTGTTAAGGTGATGGGGGGGGGCAGGGGGTCTAATGATTAAACCAGTAATTTGGGCAGTCTTTGTTAGGGTAAGTGTTTATTCATTCATTTGTCTACACAATGCTGGGTTGAATTTAGTGCAACAGAATCTTGTGTATATATTTTTTCTTTTCCATAGTCAGCATTATCTAGTAATTCCTGGCATAATGTTCATTTTTTCACATTTCAAAAGGCCTTTAGTGAGCAAATTTGTCCCCCCCTGATTTAAAAAAAAGAAAAAAAAGAAAAAGAAAAAAGTGGTGGCTAGCTTTAGTGGTAGGTGTTATTCTTTATGCATAGAACATAATTAAGTTGACCTTTCATTGGTTTGCGAGAGATTAAACAAAGGTGAAAATATCCCAGTTCTTAACAAGTGTAATGATTGAAGAACCTCAGTCTTTAGTTTTAAGATCTTTTTTATTACTTAAATGCTAATTGCATATGGGTTTCCTGTCATAGGTCAGTGGTATTTCATTCTAAAGAAGTGTGAAGTGAATAGAAACAAGATCGAAATGATTTTATTTAACAGATCAGGATTTGTGAATTTGAAGACCTGTATCTCATTAGTTCCCAGCTAAGACTCGTTAGAAACTACTGCTCTTAACTGAGGTAGAGATTAAAGGGGAAAGGATATGACCTTCTTATCTACATCCTTTTATTATAATCTACTTTATATACTTGGATATTCCTCTGTGTTGGATGTGGGACCAACATTTGTGTATTATAGGGTGGCTGAATGGTTTATGGTTTTGGTTTGCATAGGTATGTTGTATTTGTGCTTGGTCGTGATATTTTCTTTGAGAACCTGTTCCGAATGCAGTTTAAAGGTTAAGGATTTGAAGATGGCTACAAGAAATTATTTTATTTTTTTGTCATAGATTTAAAAGTATGGGCTTACATATCTTATACTTGATAAAGTATCAGTGTTGCTTCTTAATTTATAATTAATTATAAACACTCCATCAGTAATATTTCAATTTGTTAAATGTATTGAGGGGAACATAGATTTTGTTATAAAAACTTTATCAGAGGAAGTAGATACCTGAAGTCCATGGCCCATTAAAATAATCTTATATATTGTGGCATCCAGTGACATGGAATGTGGGTGGAGAAACCTCCCTTTGTTTCCCTAAATATTTGTCAAGGATAGAAAGAGTTGCTCCAGTATAATGAATTGCTAACACCTGCAGTGAACTCCATAGGGTGCCTTTGTGAACTGGAGGCGCATTGATTTGAGTACTGGAGTCTTGGTAACTACAGATCTCCTTAAATAATGCTTTGTAGTGTTACTCTACCTTCTGTGGTCTACCTGCCTGTTTGCATGCTTGCCTGCCTGCCTGTCTGCCTCACCTGCTTGCCTTGATGGCTAGCTTACATGACCTTTTTTGTTTAACCTGCTTATGTGACACTCCTAAAGCTGAGCATTGCACAGCTGTCATTTCCACTAAGACATTAAACAAGTGTGTGGGTTTTGCAAGTGGTTAAAGTAATGGTGTGATTGTTTTGTTGCTGAATTGCCCTTTTTGATAACCATGCATGAATTGAGCATGGCACTTTGTGATTGAAAATGTTTGAACAGTTTTAATTAAGAAAAATGCAGTCACTTAAATGTCAAATTGAAGTTCAGATACAGTTGCTAGTAGGCTAGTCAAGTAAGATGTGATAGTTTGCTATTAGGTGAAATTAATTCAACTGTAGTTTTTTTTTTCATAGAAAAAATTATCCATAGTCCAGTATTTCTTTGTATTTTTAGTATTGAATCACTGATGGAGTTTGAATGCATTTTAGTCCAAACTTGCCAGTTGGAGTGTTAATTTCAGAAACTTGTTAAATTCATTAAGGGGAAATACTTTTTTTTTTTATAATTTCATTTTTTTTTTGTTACATTTTAATTTTGTCATGAATTGTTAGTATATTGAATTGACTGAGAATGATAATGTAGAGTTGACCAATTTCACTATTCTTGCAGAGAGAAAGCTTAGTGCCATATATATTTATATATTTATTTTTAGTACTTAGTCCTCTCAGTC